TTCTGACTCCCACAAAGGCAACCTCCTGAACACCTGAGCACCATCTTCACCACATTCTTTCTGAAACTGGAAAACACTGGAAAGCTAATCGCTTAGAACTTTTTTGTCCTAGCGTTTACAGAACTTACTCAGGCGGATTTCAGGACCAAAGAGTGAACTTCTGGTCCTTGATTAAAGTATCTGGAAACAGCACAATTAATACGCTCAATAAAAACTAAGAAGTTTAACCTGGTCTTCATCAAATTCAGGAAACCTTTTTTTATGGAATAAGTTTGGAATATTAAACTTCTTAAAAAGCTAAGACAAGAAATAGCAGCTGACATAAGTGGCATGATTGGAATCCTAGCTCTTAGTCTACAACAAGTGGATAAGATGACTGTGTGTTAGCTTGTTACCTTTTCTGCATGTGAGATTTAGAGGCTAAAGGTTAGCACTCTATTTGCCCTGGCAGTTAACTAGAATGTAGTCAAGAATGTGATAGTGTTCTTAGTTTGATGATTGAGAGCTCTGTTTGGGTAAGCCTGAGTAATATTGTGTCATTTCTAGATTTTCTAGTCTTTACTAGAAACCAGACATTTAATTTTCAGTTCACAAACTGAGTGAAAAACATTTTTTTGAGGAAATCGAGGGTGGGGTGTGCTGTATACTAAAACACATGACATTTTGGGGTGCAAGCCGGTGTCTCCTAAAACTTAAATAAAATTTTGACAGAATGCTAAAAACGGCTTACCTGACACTGGGGTTCCTTTGATCAATTAACTCCCAAATGGGCTAGATGCGATGAATAGCTCCCTCGTTTGAAATCTTTCTTATGTTGTTAGGGTTTTATTTCTTTTTAAAATCAGCAGGAAGCTGAGGAAGATAATTTAACATTCAATCATTTAGTAAGGCATGACTTGCAGTGATCTCCTGTACATTGTATATACAATATATACAGTAGATGCCATGTAAACTAATAAATTACCTTTTACAGTTTTTTCTGTATTGATGAATTAGAGAATTAATCCCTCATACAAGTTTGTAATTGTGTCTGAGTCAAATTATCCTGGAGCTCAATGTCACAGTTTTATCCAGCGATGGAATTTCTGAATAACAGGAACGATGAGGAGTGATTCCAGACGATGAGCAGCTCTACTGCAGTGATCAAGAGAGGACCCCAGGCCTGCAGGGTAACAGTGAAATCTGGTTCTCTCCACAGGAAGGTTTGGCTCAGCAAAGTGGGGAGTCCCGGCTCACGGATCGACCGAGCTGTGTTCTCCAACGAGCGGGACATCTCCAAGCTAGAGTACAAGGGCTTCAACACGCGATACTGAGCCCAGCCTCTCCACCCAGAGCGCAGCAGACCAGGAGTCCAGAGGTTCATCGTCCCTGGAAAAGTGCATGAGTATTCTTTAATGAACAAGCCAAAATCATCAGCAGTCTTTAGTGTTACTTAAGCAATCTTATATTTTACTCATTGCACTCCCCATTTATTCTAAACTGAAGGAACCTTAAAGAATTAATCTAGGTGCCTTCTGTGCTTAATATCTGAGTGCCTGCTTTATTAAATCTCCACCCTCTAATCTATTCCATGCACACTTGGACTAACAACATCTAATGTTACAGCTACCCTGTTAGAAGTCTGAAACAAGTATGTAAAGCTGGTAGAGGATTTCAAGGTTGTGTTTCCTATTAAACTGAATTTTTCCAAGTGTTTGTTGATGTTATTTAGGTCAGTTGATTTTAGCCTGCGATGATAAGACTTAGATTCTTCTTCTGCTCTGTTACTTAATTTTTGTAATCTTTTGTTTATTTTTAGATTAACAGCTGGTTTGTTTAAGACGTATCCCATTATATCTGTGGCAAACTGAGCAGGCCGGTAATTCAACAAAAGCAAGCAGGAAAATAAATTTAAGACACTGGAACGTGACATGGTGTATTGTACAATTTGTTTTAATAGAGAGGATTTTCTACACATGGTTATTTTAGGAAACATGCCACTGAAATGACACATTTCTTTCCAAGGAGGCATTTTTTCAATTAATCTTGTCCTTGGAACACATATTGATATTTGCATTAATTTCTTCAGAACTCTTTCTCCAATAGAGATGTAAAACAGAAGTCAGCATCATGAGCAACCACTGCCCTCATCATCATTATCAACTTCTTGTAAGCCTCTGGCATAGTATCTAGTTTATGACAGAGTATATTGTATCTCAGTACTGGAGAACAATTGTTGTTCCCCACTACATTTTCAGTTTTTATTTCTTAACATCTTTCATCAAAAGATCTAACATCAAAGTTTTTTTTCCGTAAAATATCTTGACATGTTCACCAATGTACTGTTTTCCTGTTGCACAGCATATCTCATTTCAGCTGACCTAGTTTGGGGTTATTAAATTCAGTATAACCTCAGTAAAGTAGTCACCAGTCATACCTGTCTGAGAGATGGATAAATATGTAAGGAGACAAGAAAGTTTAGAAGCAAGACTGATTTGGCTCATCTAGCCTGTCAGATAGTTAGTAGCTTGTTATTCTCTGGATCATATTGATGTTTCTTGACAGACGCCAGGGCATCAGCTTGAAGACCATGGCTAGGATACTAACTCCATACTGCCACAACCCTTTGTCTACAAAAATGCCTCCTATTCTCAGTTTTAGATACGGTTCCCCTTAGTACAGCAGTATATCGGATCAGACATATTGTGTCTGGATTTCAGGTCTCATCCTTGCAGAAGATTGCAGTCAAGAGGAAGCAAAGGTTTTTTTCCCCAGCTTTGTTTTTGAGTTTTCATCACAGCACCACTGCTGGTCTAGAGGAAATAGTTCCTTGGATCTATCAAGAAGATGTTTAATACCAAATACCTCACTCTGCAGGCCTGTGGGAAGTCCGGAAAAAGTCTTTTCAAAGGCAATGTATCTGACACTCTGGGACTCCGAACACACTGTGCAAGCAGCCCCATTGAGGCAAACATCGCTGTAATGCTTTTCTCAGCATTTTTCATTGCAGTTGATGGAGTGCCAGATGGTGTCAAATTTCCTTTAGTATGAATACTGTCCTCCACAGGAGACAGAAAGGACCGTTTTACAGTGTCACATCAGGGGATTAAAACACTGCCAAAAACACCCAGATAATGTCTGATAATCGTTTGCAGCATTTTAATTCCGGTATAAAACATCTTGCAATGGTGGAATTTTCATGATTCTTCAGCATTAAAACTTCACTGTACAACATTTTTCCAATGCCCTTTAAACTTGTGTGTGTGAGGGGGGAAATGGTATTTGATCCGTCTATTCCTCTATTCAGAAATTGAAAACCTGATTCTGAAAACCTTAACTGAAAAGGTTCAACTAAAGCAAGGCCTGTCCAGCTGGTGTACTGGCTAGGGCTCCATTATCCTGGTCCTGGAGGTCTAGAGTGGTTCTGTTTTCTATTAGCTGAGCTCATGACGATCCGGAGCAGCTCTTTCTTGGCTTAATTAGACAAGTTTAACAGGTTTTCCCAGCTTTTCAGGTGCAGGTGCTTTGAGGAGACCCAGAAAACCTAGACAACAGACCCTCCTGGACCAGGCCTGGGGTCTCCTGCTATAGGCTCTTGAGGAACACAGCTCTGGTAACCCTGAGAGGTAAGAGACATGATCAGAGAGGTTGGCACATGTATGAGAAAAAGCGGGATTATTTCTCTGAGGGAAAGAGACGTAGCACACAAGAGTACATGCACAGAAACACAGCCAGCTCGATTCCGAAAGACATTTTAATGCCAGGGACCCAGTGAGCATGAAGTTAAACAGAGCAATTGATTGAAGCCATATGGCAAAGTGCACTGGGCCTTTTTCCATTTGTATCAGGACAAGCTGGGGGCCTGGACAGGACTCTGGAACTGAAGACTTCCTTGGGGTCGAATGTGTTTATATTCACACAATTGGAGGAGAAGGCTGTGTACATTCTTTCTCTGAAACTTGACGTATCAAATAAGAAAGTATTTGAAAGGCAGATGCTTCCTAAGTCTCTGCATTTCCTGTATGACACCAATCTGTCAGTCTGTATTGAAATGACACCCCTTCAGGTCTTCCTTTCTCCCAGCATTCCTTGCTGTCATAAATCTGCATGCTTGCTAACAGGAGAGAATCCTCTTAGCAGATAGAGAAACCTGATTAGATCTCTGGCTTAGGGGTTTATTATTCTGTATTGCTACTGTGATGTGAAAGCCACAAACAGCAGTAGGAGGCCTGTATTATAATTTGTAGGAGGTATCATTCAATTCAGGTGCCTGACTGCACTTCGCATTATTCAAGATGCCATATATTCTGAGTACTTGGCATCACTATACAGTATATAATTCAGACATTCTACTGACATTTTTTTTAGAAATCACATCCTATCTGCTCCTTCTACCCTCTAGAGATCCATGTTACAGATACTGTTTGGTTTTAACATTGTGGTGAGCCATACTGTGTACATTTTTGAATATTACTGTTGGTTTGTACATTATCAACATTTCTGAGACTCAAATCTGCCCTATTGAACCAGAGACAATACATGCATAGCGATTAGTGAGTCTAGAAATTATTTCTGTAATTACCTTACAAATAATAGTTTGAAGATTTGTTCACTCATTTTTTCAGTGAAATACAAATATAGGCGGTTTGATAGTTTTCAGGACCTCTGTTGATGCTTTGCAGAAAGAAGAACCTTTG